CTCCTTGTTCTGTCATCTGCCACCACTGAGAACAGCCGAGCTCCATCCTCTTTGGAACCCCCCTTCAGGTAGTTGAAGGCTGCTATCAAATCCCCCCTCATTCTTCTCTTCTGGAGACTAAACAATCCCAGTTCCCTCAGCCTCTCCTCATAAGTCATGTGCTCATAGGTTGTCTGGCTCTCTCCTGCCGCAGCATGGCAGGATGGTTCCGTGATCCCTGGTCCTGGACCACACTTGAGCCACGAGTATCTAGCTGCGTATCTGTGAATTTCTCTCCTGACCTCAACTCCTCAGCCTCCCTCAGGGTCTTGCTCCGCTGCCCAAGCTGCCCGGAGGGGTTTCAAGCTCCTTTCCCCACCCTCTCCCCGGGAGTTTCCCTACTGCGGTCTAAGATGAAAACGGACCCGACGTCACTCGCACCCCTGTACCCCAGTCCAGGGATTTGAACCTACAAACTTGGAACCGATTCCCAGTGTCAAAAGTGCGGAGTGGCTCGTCTCTGAGGCACAAGCGCCCGCTGTTGACAGAGGCGGGAGGTCAGGCCGTGTCCTTGGATGCCTCTACTCCCGGGGCTTTGGGTGGGCGGTTGATTTTAGGGTGGTTTCTATGACGAGGCTTGGTGCTGAGTCAACCGGACCCGGCGCATGTTAGAGATTTGGACTCCTGGGGTGTCCTATGGGCAGTGTCCGCCTGTCCCGCCAGCCCCATCCTTAGCAACTGGTGCGACTGATTGACCCCTCTCCCATCTAACAACCCTTCTTCTATCGGCAGAGCCTTCTCCTGTCTCTGCCCAGCTCCCTTTTCTCCCGGCGGGACCTGCCCAGGTGCCAATTTTTCCCTACGGGACTTCTTTTCCAAACCTGTTCTCCATCTCTGGGCCCTCCTCTCCATTTTCTCCAATGCCCCGCCTGTCCCTTTTGAACCCAGGGACAGCCCCGATCCCACCGAGCCTGCGGGCCCCTGAGTCACGCCGATGACTCCAGCACAGTGAGTCCAGGTTTACGCCGCTACACATTGGATCAGCCTTTGGCCTGGAGAGCCCAGCTCCGAATGCGCAAGGTCTGATTGTCCCCCCACGCCCGTCGGTGGAACTGCATTGGAGCCAGTGGGGCTGCTCCGGATTTCTCGCAGCGCAAGGAAGAGCAGGGCCAGCTACTCTGTCTTTTGTGTGGCAGCTTTTGGGGGCTGACTCATAGTCCATTTACCCCCCCCCCTCCCATCCGGAGACGGCTCGCTGACCCCAGGGCCCCGCGCTGCCTTCTTCCCCTGTGTCTTACACTTCGAAAGCGCAAAATCGGTTCTTCTAGGTGCTGCTTGTTCCAGAGAAAACTCCTCCTGGCCCCTGGCCTGTGCCACCCCCCGCACCTGTCCCCTGGGCTCTGCGTATGCCTCGGCCACGACACCGGGCCTCTGGCGCGGACCACATAGCCGAGCCTAACCTCGCTGGGGGTAACTCCCAGTACCGCAAACCTCCCCCGTGCTGCACATGGGGTTCCACAGACTGAATTCTTGGGCTGGGTAATTATGCCACAGAGAGAGAAAACCTGACAACTTTCCGAGCAATTTCCAGCGGTCTTGTTTGTGTGCTGGGCCGATCCCGCCCTCCCCAGCCCCAGCCCCCCGAGATTTACTGGAAGCCTGGGTTGCAACCAAAACCAGGGCCTGCCTGTCAGTATCTCTGCAGGGCGACGTTTTGCAAAGCCCAGGCATTCCCTATGACGGGTCACATCCTAGCCAGAAACACTGGGGCGCGTTTTGGCATGGGGAGGGGGGTCCTGCCAGGACATGGAGCCTTTCACTGCTAGGTTACGGCCTGACTCTCCCTCGGAGTGTAATGACCAAACGTTACCACCTGCCAACTTCCCAGCAGCTTGTGTGGAAAGAGAGAGAACTAATTGTGCCACATTTAATGTGTGTGTCGAATGACAACGAACGTCTCCTAGTTCTGGGAGACAGAAGAAAGACGGGATCCGAAGGTGCTTTGCAAGTACAGACACCCAGTCCCACTAAAATGCAGCCATCGCTGGGTGGGAGAGCAACTCCCAGACATCACGCTGCATACTGCAAGAAGAAACTTCGGGCAAGGGCACTGAGGCCAGCCTTGCTCTTAGAACAAAATGATGTGATCTTAACGTCTGTGTGGCCGTTAGTTTTTCAGGTCTCATATCAAAATGTCTATCTATCTATCTATCTATCTATCTATCTATCTATCTATCTATCTATCCCCATACACCC